GAACAGATGAAAATCTGATGCAATTGGAGGCTGAAGAACATCTCAAGCTTGACTTTTGGAAATTACCCACCATGCCAGGGGAGACAGTTCATATCCGAGTTCCTTTTGTCAACGTCCAAGCAGTCAAAGTATTCTTGGAGGCCCAGGGAATTGCTTATTCTATCATGATTGAAGATGTTCAGCTTCTGTTGGATCAAGAGAATGAAGAAATGCTATTTAATCAGAGAAGAGAGCGGAATGGTAACTTTAATTTTGGGGCCTACCATACCTTGGAAGAGATTTCCCAAGAAATGGAAAACCTCGTGGCTGAGTACCCCAGCCTAGTAAGCCAAGTGAATATCGGCTCTTCTTTTGAGAACCGGCCCATGAACGTGCTCAAGTTCAGCACTGGAGGAGACAAGCCGGCCATCTGGCTAGACGCCGGGATCCATGCTCGAGAGTGGGTTACGCAAGCTACTGCACTGTGGACAGCAAACAAGATTGCCTCTGATTATGGAAAGGATCCATCCATCACCTCCCTTCTGGACACCATGGATATATTCCTGCTGCCAGTCACAAACCCTGATGGATATGTGTTCTCGCAAACGAAAAATCGTATGTGGCGGAAGACCCGGTCCAAGGTATCTGGAAGCCTCTGTGTGGGTGTTGATCCTAACAGGAACTGGGACGCTGGTTTTGGAGGACCCGGAGCCAGTAAGCAACCTTGCTCTGATTCATACCATGGACCCAGTGCCAACTCTGAAGTTGAAGTGAAATCCATTGTGGACTTCATCAAGAGTCATGGAAAAGTCAAAGCCTTCATTACCATCCACAGCTATTCCCAGCTGCTGATGTTCCCCTATGGGTACACGTGTAGCAAGCCAGATAACTTCGATGAGCTGAATGAAGTGGCCCAAAAGGCTGCCAAGTCGGTGGCAAGCCTGCATGGCACCCAGTACAAAGTGGGACCGATCTGCTCAGTCATCTACCAAGCCAGTGGAGGAAGCATCGACTGGGCCTATGATTTTGGTATTAAATACTCATTTGCCTTTGAGCTAAGAGACACAGGTCGCTATGGCTTCCTCCTGCCGGCCAATCAGATCCTGCCCACAGCTGAGGAGACCTGGCTTGGCCTGAAGACAATCATGGAGCATGTGCGAGACCATCCCTACTAGGGTTCTGGGGATAAACGAACACCATTAAAAATCTCTTGATTGGAAGCAAAAAAAAAAAAAAAAAAAAAAA